TCCTAAACAGTTGACAGAATTTCCCTATCATTCATGATTTTCAAGAACTGCGCCGGAAGATCTATAGCATTCGTGCTTAGTAAGAAATTTTCTTTTCTATTTTCCTTTAGCTATATTTCCTTTCCAATTGAAACTTTTATTCCTCAAGAAAATTAAGAAAGTTTTTCAATTAAGACTATTGTGACAGCCCCACTTTCCCCTAAGGCGTACCAAAGGGGTTAGCGGACTGCCTGCCTAACTCTCGCCAGAACTATCGAGCAGATAAATGAAATCGAAAACGTTCAGGAAGGTAATAGCGCGCTCAAACGATTCAAAGTCGCCAAATGGCAAAACGAAAATCGAAACCACAATGAATAGTGGTTGCCACATCGCCACCCAACCAGGAGCCAAACGAATACAGATATGGCCATATGACTCGGGAAAACATTTCCAATCCAAATAGGATACATGAACAGGGTAAATAGTTTTATACACATACGTTTGTAATTTACGGAACAAAAGAAGATAATTAGATCAAAATACATTTAGGGTTTTCCAACTATCGAGGAGCTTTGCAAAAAATATATATATTAAAACTAGCTCGACTCGTGCTTCAAAACATCTTAGCCCCAAAAGTGATTCCCTGTAAGGAAAATAAAGATAACAGGAAGGGGTGAGCTTACGCTCAATGAGGTACCAATATAATAGCAAGTAAAAAAAACGTGGAACTTCATATTCAATTAATCACATATGTGCATCAAATAAATAAGTGAACAAACACCATAGACAGAAAGGATACGGGTGGCTCTCAGGAGCCAAATTCCCATTTGCTTCACCGAAACTTGATCGAAATAATGGTTGACACTCCGTCAACGTTAAAGAAGTAACCAATACCGTAGACTCCACTTTCTCCGATTCCTTCCACCTCACATACCCCTACCGGGCCCGAACTCCAATCAGTTCAGAAATGGTAATACTCGAATATACCGGAATCAAGGGTCTCAATACTCAAAGATCCCAAAACAGACACCGTGGTTCGTTATCTAATCGACCAGGCCCTTGCCGGCCCGACTCGAGTAACTAGCCACAGGTGTTGAGCTCAGAAGTCACAGAAAGGTCGTTGGATACAAGCTTCCAAACGACGTCAGAACAGATACAGATACAGATAACAGATACAGATACAGATAACAGATTCAGATTCGCACCAAAATTGGCATATGAACAGACAAGAGAACGAGTGTGATAAAGTACACTCTCGTCTCAAACAGAATAAACAGATAGTACAGTCATTCAGATCACAGATTGCAAGTGCAGAAATCAAGTTAAGTAACAAATAAGGGGAGTGGTACACTCACCGGTTCAAGTACAGATATTTCAAAAGTTTTCACTTCAGATTGGCTTTAATCGCCAAGAAACCCTAAAATAAGCAAAGTAAACCAATTGAAGGTTTCACATCCAAAATCGAGTAAACGGAATGCACAAGTGAGGCTCGACTACACGTCGTAAGCCTTTCCATGGTAAGTACTGGTACAAAAGAATAAAATATGACTTTCAAAAGGCCATTCAAACCTAAAGAGACTAAGCGGCCTAGAAAATTGAACAGCATTTTTCCTAAATTTGCTTACTTTTCCAGCCGTCATGGCTTCATTAGTTTCCTCAGCCAGTCCCAAAGTTATACAAAAATATAAATTCATCACAACAGCCGTTCAATAGGCTCAAAGTCATTCAAGTACAAAATTTAGCTAGGAAAATGACCGGAAATGGAAGTCAAGCCCTAAAAGATTCAAATAAGCACAATAAGACTCGATTACAAGTCATAAACCAATTCCACATACTACCAAAATAGGGCTCCATAAGAATGTATAAGCACTAGAGTAAACCAGGAAAATCCGGAAATGGAATTAAGCTCTAACCCAAAAAAATAGTTTTTGACATCATTTTACGGTTTTGGCACCATTGGCACTAAGATTATCAGATGGAGGTACAAGATACACCGTTTCGAAGCTAAGAGGTAGGGCTACAATGTTGAAGAAGGCTACTTCTCCCAGTTCCGAGCGTAACTAGGTCAAAATTTCAATATACTACACCAGAACAGCAAAAACAGGTTCACAAACCGCATTCTAGTTCAAACATCATAAGTCAGGCTACCTAAGTCCAAATCAAGTAATTCCAAAGCGATACGAAAGCTAAGATCCACGGCTACAATTCAACAGAAGACCTCAATAACCAATTCTGAAGTATTCCCAACCAAAATAACCAATTACAGACGCAATTATCAAATTCGGGTAGAACCAGGGCAGCAGGGGCAATTCAGTCTTTTCACAAGCTACGTTACTCCGATTGACCTGAAAGTTTGCAGGCATCTCTAAAATATCATTCCATACAACTTTTATGTTTTTACCCAAGGCCAATTCGGCCTCTAACTATGAGCTACAGTATCGGGCAGAATGTAAGAACATGAAACCCTAACTTTCCAAATTTCTTCCAAAACAAAAATTTCCTGCAATTAACCACTTTTTCCACCTTCTAACTTCCTTAAATATCATTTCCAATCATCATACATGATCCCATAATAATAATCATATGAAAACAGAAAAATCACCAATAATTATAAAACTTCACAAATTTCATCCAAAAATCACAAATAACCACTAAAATCAGATTAAGCTAACTAGAATTTCTTCTTCTTTTTTTGACAAGGGAAGGATGAGATTTAAAAAATGAAATAGATAAATCAAAGAAAAAATAAAAAATTTAACTATAATAATTAACCAATTCTTTTTCACAAAATCCTAATCCTAGACTTAAATTAGTTCACTATGGTCATGAATAAACCAAAAATTCACGAAATACAAGGATAAAGATAAAGAGTAAGTAAAACGTCTCAAATTGAGCAACTCTAATCTTCATCTGTATTACTCTTTCATCCTTGTCCACCTTCATCTTGAACACTCCAGGAGATAGATGTCAAAGATACGAGCTAAGGAATTGCACAATGTTTCCCCCTCTTCCCCCCCCCCCCCCCCCCCCAAAAAAAATAAAAACGTCCTAATATCTCCTATTTATATTATCCTAAATTCTAAGTTAAGATATAGAAGGATTAGGTTTTTGAAAACTGAATAAATCTGAGTCCGCTTAGAAATCCGATAAAGTCCTACACAATGTCCTTCATGAAGTCCGGCGCCAATCATTGACTAATGTGAAATTTGAAGAAACTTCAGAAGATGTCCACCCAATGTCCCTTCTGAAGTCCAGTGCCGGTCTTCCATTTGGAACCATGCTTCTGTCCCTTTCTCGCCCTTGGTTTCAATGGAATAGAGTACAGAAATTGAAGTGGCTTTCATTTCTTTTTGCGGTTGGTCAAATTTCGGTTTGGTTAAAAAAGTGGTACGTGTCTCGTTGTTCCTGTTTTAGTCGTCCGATTAGGAAGATTTATCTATCCCACCATTGGAAAAGTGAGCACATAGGCCTAGTTGTCCACAAACGTAGTAACCATGAAATGGGTTAGATAAAATTGCACCAATTTTGATTGCCTTTTGATTTCCAAAAAGAAATGGAATTTGCAGCTCAATTTTGATTGCTTTCACACCAAACCTCAACCTTAACAGCAATAAGCCAATAACTCTCCTAGCTTCATGCAACATATCAGAGCCAAGCACCATACGCCTGAAGAGAAACGTAGAAAAAGATCACCACAACGCTCAAAAACACACCAAAACTGAGTAAACCAAGCACTACATAAAACTCATTTTTATAAAATTCCAGTTCCGATAACAATGAAAGAAAAATTTTTTTGTAGTGAGACTATAGTCTGATTATCAATGATGTACATCCAGATAGCCTCATTAGCAATGTATCCCCCAAATGTCAATGTAAATACAAATGCCGTGAAACAATCAGCCTATGTAAATATTTAGCTTTTTTGCTCTCATTTGGTGGTCTGTTTCCACCTTTCACTTTCAACTTCTGCCCTTATTTTTGAAGTGCATTTTCACCAATTGATTTTAGCCAATGTTCAGTTGACTGTTTCTTGTAGTTGCCTTGCAGTTTTTGGATGGATGCTATTTTGCCTACTAATTTCATTTCTCGATTAACCAAAGCTCGATTGCATACAATTTCCATATAGCTTATTGGAAAATTTGCCTTTTTCTGATTTAGCAAAACTATTCAAAGGCCTCCAACACATCAATCTCAGGCCTTATTTGGCAATTCCTTTCATAGTTTGCACTACAGCATTCCTCTTTTCCTTTTCCTTTCTGTTTTTTCTTCAGTTGCGTCAATTTTCATTCATTTATTAGCCATCTAACTTCGTTAGGAAAATTGTCCTTTGTCATTTGATCCATATACATGTAACAAATGATATACATACATTACAAGTACAGTCAGCTTATTCATTAGCACACTTGTGGACAAAATTACTCTGTTGATATTACAAGCTTAGTTACCACCGATCAACAGTTCTACTTGAGTAGAGCTGTTAATCGAACCGGGCAGCTCGCGAGCCGAGCTCGACCCGGCTCGATAAGGGCTCGACTCGGCTCGTTAACAAAGAGAAACGAGCTGAGCTCGAGCTCTAATGAGTACTCGTTTATTAAACGAGCCGAGCAGGCTCGGCTCGTATAAGCTCGGTAGGCTCGAAAGATAGGGACATTTTCGTCATTTCAGCGTGTATGTGGTACACTAACTCACTAAGTCATCTCCCGTTTGCTATAGCCCTAATTCCTCCTTTCCTCTTTTGGTATTTCGTTTTCCCGTCCCACAGGCCAGAACCGTCACCCCGCAGCCGCACCCCAATCCCCGCAGCCTCCATTCTCACCGCCAGCCTCCATTCTCCTAATTTTTTCTTTTCCCCTTTCTGTCAACTTTTTTCCCGTTCCACACCTGCAGCCGCAGCCGCAGCCGCAGCCGCAGCCGCAGCCTCAGCCTCTTGACAAAAGCAGCCCACTGAATCAAGCCACTGAATTCCTTCCTTGGCCAATAGCTCGCCTGATTCTTGCCACCGTCACTGACTCACCATACGAAGCAGCCATACGGAGCCACCTCGGTAGAGCCAGGGGCCTCTACCATACCCCGATTCACTGCATTCTGGTAAGTAGTGACCCCGATTCTTTTTTTCTTTTTTTTTCCTTTTCTTTCTTTGTTTTTGGGTTCAAGAATTTAAATTTCAATCAATTTAACAAGCACACATGTATCGAGCAGATTAGAATGTGCTTGGTGATTATATACTGATTGTTGTATCTGAAAAAGATGGTATTGAAGACTGGCAAATATACTAGTAAATTAATAGTGAATGTCGAAATTGTCTTCAAGTACTGTTTTTTTTTTCTGGAGTGTTTGTTACAATATTTATATAGAATGATTATTGTTCACATTCATCGAAATTGTTCTATTTTCTATCGCTGGAGTTAATAAACGAGATAATGTTTTTGGCCCTATGGCTGTTTCCAAGTTTTGCACTAATTAACTGGCCAAGGATGGTAACATCTGCATCAGTAGGTTCCTGCTGATTGCTATTTGGGTCATTAGTTTGTTTAATTAGTTTTTCTTTTTGTGATAAGAGATGTGTGTTTAATTGGTACCAGTTCCTCTGATTTCCGTCTACTTGATTTCTTTTATAATCACTTTTTTTTTCCTTTTCTTGAAAATTAGCTAGCAAATTTAGTATATATATCCACACACACACATATACTGGGACCATTATATGAAGACGTGGGAGAAATTGCAGCTCCGATTGCTATTCGATTATTGGTCTGGGCAAAGCCTGAGCATAGCAAATTTTAACAACCTGTGGTTTGATATGCATCACTCTGTACATCATTCATTGAATTAGCTTGATGAATTTGGTCAAGTTAATTACGATTAATCATAAGTTCCTTTAAGAAGATGAATGAATGGCAATAATTAATGCCACTGCCACTTAGACACTTACTGTCCAATATGTAAAAATCTTGGATAGCTGTCCCCATATAGCTCTGGGCTAGCCTGCTAGAATTAAATGAATTTAGGATCTATATATGGCTCCATACACCCAACAAAAAATATTTCAATGAATTAGAAAGGTGGTTGAATATGTAATAAGTGCTTTCGTTATCAATTTTGAGCAACCAACTATTCACGTACACTACCTTCTATGTATGCTTTCCAATCAAAAGAAGTAGACTGACTTCCCATTTCAATTTGAAAAATGAATTATGGCAAATATTTGTCTCTCTGAAAATAAATCAGGCAGATTATCTTTCATTGCCCATGCTCAGCTTTTGTTTTTCCTGTTTCATTAGTTTAGTAATAAACTGCTTTGCTTTTCTATTTCTGATGATCTGGTTGAGTTTCATTCGAGATGGTTGGCTATAGTCAGACCACTGGAGCGCATGTGAATTGTGTACCATCTTCAGATGACACTATTCGTATTTAATTTATTGGAAAAGCCACTATACTGTCCTTTCTTTCATTACTGTCCCCATGCACAAACTAATCAGAATTTTATAACTTTCTTACTTTTGTTTTGTAGGAATCACTTGATGCGGCCGAATCAATCACATTTGAGGAAGTTGAACTTCCTGAATCATTCACGAGCTGATTTGGTGGCTGTTGATGTTGCTTGGTCGCTTCTGATATGTTTGGTGGCTGTTTATGTAAACTTTTGATGTTGTAATCTAATATTTGGTTTGGACATGTTATCTGATATGTTTGGGGGCTGTTTATGTAAACTTTTCATGTTGTAATCTGATATTTGGTTTGGACATGTTATCTGATATGTTGGTGGCTGTTTATGTAAACTTTTCATGTTGTAATCTGATATTTGGTTTGGATATGTTATTTGATATGTTTTGGACATGTTGTAATCTGATTTGGTTTGGATATTGTAATCTGAGTTTTTATATTCGACCTGGCTTGCAATATTTGGCTTCAATTCGAGCTTGTGGAATTGAAGATGATATATTAGGGAATGTGCTCTTCTTTTGTCCAGCTAAATATGAGTTTGCCAGGAACTGATATGCTCTCACCCGTAAACGAGCTCGACAGGACCGGCTCGATCTCAAGCTCGAGTTCGAGCTCGAGCTCGAGCTCTCTACCTGTATATCGAGTCGAGCTCGAGCGCCTTGTGAAGCTCGAATTAGTAATCGAGCGAGTTCGAGCTAGCTCGATTAGAGGTTCGAGCCGAGCTCGATTGTCATATGCTCGAGCTCGACTCGGCTCGTTTAACAGCTCTATACTTGAGCAACCTCACGGGAAGTGTGAGGCCCCTCTCCAACTAGTCTTTCTAACTATAGTGCAAATACTCAACATCGAGTGTGTTTAGATAGTATATTATTTGGGATAATTTCTTTAAAAAAAAAAATTTGTAGCACTTTTTTGATGTGTTGTAAGTCAGATAAAAAGATAATTGAAAAATATATTAATGATTCAAACAAATTAAAATTAGCAAACAAACTACAATCCAAACATTGATTTACCTACACTTTCGCAAAAAGGTCTAGTTACACAAAACTTCTCTTAACTTTGGAAATATACATACTCAACAGCAAAGAAAATCGAGTGTCAAAAGAAAGAGTTCCTTGGGAGTTGACCCGCTGGAGATCATTGCTACATGGCTAACTCTTTAATATAAGAATCAACAATGGGATAAACATTTTAGAATTAGAACTACTCCACCACAAGTTTCATTGTTCAATTTGACGTACTTTTGGTTCAGTTGTTGGTGTAACGTACACATATGTTCCCATGTAGCTTCATAACATCTTAAGCTGTATAGGCTGGCGGGTTCTAAGAAATAACAAAATATTTTGGCTACAAAATAGTTTGAATGCTAAGCAATGGAATGTAATATGAAATTACAAATTGTTACAATGGTCCCTAACATTTTTTCAATTTAAAGATTGATTGTTTGAAGGAGTATCAGTCGAGAGGCAATTATTAATAGTTATATTTGCTTTGACATTGCAATTTTGGGACTACACTAAAAAAAAAGAAAATTTCTAATGCATTTCATAGAATTTTTTGTAATTGAGGATCAGCAATTGCAAATTTTTGTGGTAGGTACTTAAATAAAGTAATAACCTTTTAATAAACTGATTAATCCGCTAAGAATATGAGAAGTTTTGCCAAAATGTAATAAAGTTTATCAAACATTGGTAAGTGTTGCTAAAATATTGGTACTTTTTACTAATAAAGGAATAACTTTTTTCTGTTAAGAGTCGTAGGACTCTGTGATCCTGGGATTTGTAAGTCAATTAACATGATTTTGAACGTCTCCTTAAGAAACTACTAAGATTGTCTTCCAAAAAATTGGCAAGTCTTGCTAAAAAGGTAGGTTTAGTAATGTTTGCTTAAAAATGTGATCACTGTTGTTAAAGAAATTGTTAATTTGCTAACAAAGTATTAAATTGTTTCTTAAAGTTAGTGATGTTCCATACATATAGTCAAGATTCAATGTTGAATTTATGAAACTTGAACGAATACCTAGTTTAAATCTAGACAATGATAAAAGCTATATTATTTTAGTGTGACTTAACGAATAGGTTATTACAAAGATCTGCATCATAGGATTTTCCTACAATGCAGGATATCCATTTTCCAAATTTCATTGTTCTTCATGTTTATTTGTCATCATTTTTGAAGTTTTCAACCAAGAAAGAACAACGGCTTAAGTCACCTTATGCGATCTAAATTAACAAAGGACACTATCTTACCTCTTTCTTTATCATTAAACTATGGTCAATAGACAATCTTCACCTTATGCAATCAGCAACCACTTACAGCTTTGAAACTGGCAACTAAATCACATAAGAACTCTTGACAAATGCTTATTCTTTTTTTTTTAGGAACTCGTGACAAATGTAATCGAAAAACTGAAATTTTAGAATATAATTATAACCTTAGCAAACTTATTACCCACGAGATGAATAATTCCTTGTCTAGCATCATTCATTCCAGGAAGGATAATATGCAGTGGCCACCAGGTAAAGGTCATTTTTCCTTCCTACTGTTATTCCAATACTTTCATCCATGTCTAGATCATCAACCTTCATTCCATCAGGAAGTCCCCAGTCAAAATGGTAGAGCAAATGAGCTAAGGGAAGCTCAACATTGACTAGACCAAATGTTATGGCTGGGCACATCCTCTTGCCAGTCCCAAATGGAATATATTCAAACTGATAGCCAGTGTACTCGACTGATTTTTGCTCGAATCTCTCTAGTTTGAAGCTTTCTGGATCATTCCCAATAAATAGGATTTCTCCCCATTGCCCAGACATTAACAAGAATTTGTGATTTTTGGGGTATCATATACCCTTTGACATCGCGGTTTAATTTCCTTGTTTGATCTTGGGATTAAAGGAACAGGTGGATGCAGCCTTAGAGTTTCTTTAACCACCATCTTCAGGTAGGTCAGTTTTTGAATATCCTTCTCCTCAATGGTCTTCTTTCCCTTGCAAACTTGTCTCACTTCTGCTTGTACCTTGGCCATTACCTTCGGATTCTTCATCAATTCTGACATAGCCCATTCAGTTACTATTGATGTAGTGTCGGTTCCGGTATTGAATATATCCTGCATGTATGCAATAGATTATTTACAAATACTTTACAAGAAAACAAGCAAGAAGGTAATAATGTAGAATCTGTATTGCCACGTACGAAGTACAGCTTTGATTTTTTGGCTTGTGATGGGAATCTGATGTAATGACTAGCTCAGCCACTAGACAAGCTTGAAATGCATTCCATGCATGCCGTTGAGTTAGTTAGAAGGGAATATTCGGGTAGTTAGTTTGTTAGTCTGTTACTGCCAGTCAGCAAGCAGGCAAGACATCATTTGCATGCAGCTAGATATCATCTGAGCTGTATAAAAGCATGAGGTTCCGGAAGAGAAAGACACTTTTGGCATTTGAATAAAATCTCAGTCTCTTTCTTCCTCAAGTCTTCTTTCCCCCTTCTCTGTTCTCTCTTTCCAGATTCATTACAGTGGTATCAGAGCTTCCGATCCTTGGATTCGGGAGCTTGATTCACAGCCATGGCAGAAGGTACACGCCTTAAGACAATCGAGGAGCAGGTCCGGAAGCAGGAAGCTAAATTGCAGACATTCATGGAGTCTACCAGCGAGGCACTTAAATCCATGGAGGAGAAGATGCTGGCCAGCTCCACAGAGTTTAAGGCTCTAGTAGCGGGCATTTCGGCACAGATTGGAGGGATTACCAGGAATCCGCAACAAGAAAGGGGACTCCTAGTCACCCCTACAAGTTCCTTGCAAGGCACGTCCAGGCCCGGGCAGGTGCATCAGGAGAGAGGAGAACGCAATGCTTTCATTCCAGGGGTGCCCAAGCTAGAGTTTCCCAGATTTACTGGAGAGCAGGTAAGGGATTGGATTCAGAAATGCGAGACCTTCTTCCATTTGTATGGCATACTGGATTCGCAGAAGATGCTGATTGTAGGAATGCACTTGGAAGGAAGGGCAAATGTCTGGTTCCAAAGTTTCAAACAGGATAAAAGGACATTTGGATGGGAGGAGTTCAAGGAAGGAGCGAGTCGCAGATTCGGAGACCTTGGGGATGAGGATGGAGTTGAGGAATTCAGCAAACTACAGCAATCTTCCACAGTAATGGCTTATCAAGAGAAGTTTGAGGAATTGAGAGCCATAGTCCTGCTCAGGAATCAGGGGTTGAGTGAAAGTTATTTCGTCTCCAGCTATTTGAGCGGGTTACAGGAGGAGCTCAAGGCACTGGTCAAAATGCACAAACCTCAGACCCTACAAGAAGCTTTCGAGGTCGCAAGATGGCAGGAAAAGGCACTGGAGGTGATTTTCAAGAAGAGCAGGGCATCTAACAGGCATCCTTCACAGCTGAGTTCCAGTGGAGGAATGTCTCCACACAGACCACCTGTGACCAAGGCAGCAACAGTCAGCGAAGGGGATTCCACGAAGCAAGGTGCTGTTTCTCAACCATACAAGAGAATCACTCCCACCGAGTTCCAATACAGGAAGGAAAACCATTTGTGCTTTAAATGTGGAGCAAAGTTTGGACCAGGTCATGTGTGTAAGGACCAGGGGATACACATGATTGTTGCTACTAATTTAGAGGACAGGGTAGATGAGGAGGAGGTGATAGAATACCTGGGTAGTGGGACCAAACAGGAGGACGAACTATCCTTGCATTCACTCACAGGGAATCTGCTCTCTAGTACCATTCGGTTGCTAGGGGAGGTCAGAGACTCTGAAATTTCTATTCTACTGGACGGGGGCAGTTCGAATTGTTTCCTTAAGAAGACAGTTGCACGGAAGTGGCAGGAGCTTATCCAGCAACACAAACCTTTCAGAGTCAAAATTGCTGATGGTCAGGAACTTCCTTGCAGTCAGTGGATACCCAATTTCCAATGGAGTATGCAGGGACAAAAATTTTGCCACAATGTGTACCTGTTAGATTTGGAGCCCTATGATCTGATCATAGGGGTGGACTGGATGAAAGCCTACAGCCCACTAACCTTTGATTTTAAGCAATTGCAGGTCTCCTTCAATAAGGATGGTGACATGATGACATTGCGGGGGAACGGAGGTACTGCAAACACTAAGATGACTCAGGGAGAGGTGGCCAAAAGATACATGAGGAAGAAACTCAAGCAAGTTGTGCAGGCTTACACGGTCAGTACAGCTCAGTCACAGGTAAACACCACTCCAAATATTCTAGAACCTATGTTGATTGAGTTCCAGGATGTGTTTAGTGAGCCTAAACAATTACCCCCTAAAAGATCATTTGACCATCAAATTCCCTTGAAAGCTGATGCAAAACCTTTCAAATTAGCTCCTTATAGATATCCCCATGTCCAGAAAACTGAGATAGAAAAACAAGTCAAGGAGATGCTGCACGGTGGCATCATCCAACCTAGTCACAGCCCCTTTGCTTCACCTGTCCTATTGGTCAAAAAGAAAGATGGAAGCTGGAGATTTTGTATAGACTACAGGCAACTTAACTCCTTAACCATTAAAGATAAATTCCCAATTCCCATTATAGATGATATTTTAGATGAACTTCATGGAGCTAAAGTATTCTCCAAAATTGATCTGCGATCTGGCTACCACCAGATTTGCATGAACCTCTCAGATATTCCAAAGACAGCTTTCAAAACTCACTGTGGGCTCTACGAATTTTTAGTTATGCCATTTGGCCTTACCAATGCTCCAGCTACATTCCAGGCCCTCATGAATTCAGTGTTTGAACCTTTCCTCAGACAATTTGTCTTGGTCTTCTTTGACGACATTCTTGTATATAGTCCAGACATGGACTCTCATACCCGCCACCTTAGACAGGTCTTAGAGACCTTAAGATCTCATACCCTTTTTGCTAAGCTCACTAAGTGCTCTTTTGGACAAAATCAAATAGAATATTTGGGGCATGTGGTTACTGGTGAAGGGGTGAGTGCTGACCCTTCCAAGGTAGAGTGCATGGTGAACTGGCCAGAACCTGCTAATATCAAGGCCTTAAGGGGGTTCTTGGGCTTGACTGGATATTATAGGAGGTTTGTCAAGAATTATGGCTCCATAGCCAAACCCCTCACTGATCTTTTAAAGAAGGATGGTTTTGTCTGGAACAAGGAGGCCAGTGCTGCGTTTCTTGAACTCAAACAGGCTATGAGTAGCACACCTGTTCTAGCATTGCCAGACTTCTCCAAGCCTTTTGTGTTGGAGACAGATGCCAGCAAACAAGCTATTGGAGCTGTCATTATGCAGCAAGGACAGCCCATTGCTTATATGAGTCAGGCTTTAGGTGCAAGAAATCAGGCTTTATCCATCTATGAAAAGGAGTTACTAGCCTTAATTGCTGCTGTTAACAGGTGGAGGCATTACTTACTGGGGTCTCACTTCATCATTAGAACTGATCATCATAGCCTAAAATACTTGCTGGAGCAGAAGATCTGGACTCCCTTGCAGCAGAAATGGTTAACTAAACTAATGGGGTATGATTATGAGATTCAGTTCAAGAAAGGAAGGGAGAATGTAGTGGCAGATGCACTTTCCAGGAGAGGGAAGGACTCTCACGAGCTCAGTGCCATATCCATGGTAAAGCCTGCATGGATCAGTGACTTAGCTGGAAGTTATGAGCAGGATCCTAAAGCTAAGGAGTTGCTCACTGCATTAGCCATCAATGGCACAGACATGCCTGAATATTCCTACAATGGAGGGGTCATCAGGTACAAGGGAAGGATATATGTAGGGGCCTCTACCTCACTCAGGCAACAACTCATTGCCTGCATGCACATGTCAGTAGTTGGAGGACACTCAGGAAATTTGGGTACCTACAAGAGAGCTAAAGCATATTTCTTTTGGCCTGGCATGAAAAGAGAGATCGAGGACTTTGTACAGAGCTGTGACATATGTAAGAGGAATAAGGGAGAAAATTGTAAGCCTCCTGGGCTGTTACAGCCCCTACCCGTACCAGAGCAAGCGTGGCAGCACATATCTATGGACTTCATTGAAGGGCTTCCTAAATCTGAGGGGTGTGATACACTGCTTGTAGTGGTGGATAGATTCACAAAGTTTGCACATTTCATCCCTTTAACTAGCCACTATACTGCTAAGAGTGTATCACAAGTGTTCTTTGATCAGATATTCAGACTGCATGGCTTACCCTCTAGCATTGTGTCAGATAGGGACAGGGCATTTACTAGCATCTTTTGGCAGGAGCTATTCTCACGGATAGGGACTCAGTTAAATTTCTCTACTGCCTATCACCCCCAATCTGATGGGCAGACAGAGAGAGTGAACAGGTGCGTGGAGACATACTTAAGGTGCATGTGCTCTGAACAACCTCGCAAATGGAAAAGATTTCTAGCAGCAGCAGAGTGGTGGTACAACACCAACTTCCACACTGCATTAAAGATGTCTCCATTTCAAGCTCTGTATGGCTACACTCCTACACAACTCAACATCGTCCCAGGAGCATCGATGGTAGCAGCAGTGGATGACTGGATGGCAGAAAGGGTAAACTGGAATTTGATGCTCAGGGATAATTTGTTGAAGGCACAGAATCGGATGAAACAGAATGCTGATAAGCTCAGGTCTGATAGAAGCTTTGAGGTGGGAGATTTAGTCTATCTCAAGTTACAACCTTATAGGCAGACTACTGTGGCCCTGAGGAGGAACCTGAAGCTGTCTGCCAAGTACTATGGACCCTTCAGGGTGTTGCAGAAGATAGGACCCGTGGCCTACAAACTAGAGCTGCCAACAGGTTCAGCCATCCATCCTGTGTTCCATGTCTCTCAGCTGAAGCCCTCTACTAAGGGGGAACCAGTCCAGTATTCTCTACCCACATTGGATGAACAAGGAGAGGTACGAGTAGCACCCCAAGCCGTGCTGGAGAGGAGGACCAAGGGGAGGGGAGGTCAGGCGACAGAGCAGGTGTTGATCTTGTGGGAAAACCTGAATCAGGATGATGCTACTTGGGAAGATGCAGCGGTCATCAGGTCTCAGTTTCCAGATTTTTCCCTTCAATCCTAGAGACTAGGATTTGGTTGAGGGGGGAGTAATGTAATGACTAGCTCAGCCACTAGACAAGCTTGAAATGCATTCCA